TTGCCTGCGCATCATCTCTTGTTTGACCTGGTGGCCCACGGTGTGATCTCTGATTGCGAGATGGATCCAGCCTCCTCGCTGGATGATGTCAGAAACAAACTCATTGAAATGGCCCAGCAGGGAGGAACTGGGACGGACCATCGCACTGGTCGTTGGTGCGACTTCGTTGACTCCTTCGGTGTTCTCAGAAAGCAGCGGCGCGCGAGATTGTTCTACATGTTATATGCTCTGCTTCTGGAGGGCCGAAACCCCTGGCATGTGCTTGCAACTGCCCTGGAGAAGGAAGGCACCGATGATGACAACGCGTTGCTCCCCAAGTGTCTGCGGGTCGCTCATTTGAATGTATATCATGCGCGCTCTATAATTTTGCGCGGTCATTGCATATACATGGGCATAATGAACGCGTATCCACGGTTGAGGTTTTGGCGCAGCCAACACGCCTGGCGTATTGCAAAAGTGCCTACTTCTGCCTCGTGCCTTTCCGAAGCTTCCAGAAAGCACAGGCACGATGATTTGATTCTTTCAAGAGCATTGGGCGCCCAGTTCCCAAGCACAGCTTGCAGGTGCAGGATGACAAAGTTCCGAGGGCGTCGTTAGCTTTGAAAATTGCAATGGCAACAGAATTGCGCCAGATGATGACAAAGACTGTGATTTCGGCCCTGAGTAAAACATCACTGGCAGACTTGTTATCTGGACTTGACGATGATGACGCGCCGGAGGTACGCAAGCATCACTTCTTCTTTGCCCTGGCAACGCTCCGCAGATTTGCCGAGTTTGGGACTTTGTTTCAGCATTTCCCACGGCGCTTTTGTTTGCTGCAAGATCATCGCTTTGCAGATGAAGTTCTGATGGAGATGAGATCTGAACGACAGCTTCTCACTGAGTTTGAGGAGGCGTCTGAGAATGCGTCTTCCAAATACCCGTTGAACCTTGTTCATACACGTCCTCCACACTTTCAGCGGAGGATGTGACAATTTTCCTTGATATTTCAGACGCCTACCGGAGCAGATAAATGCACAACATGCGGAGCAAAACATGTGTGGCCCAAATACAAATCACAAATAGTTTCAACATGGTTTCACCAAA